CCCCCTTTTTTGAATAGACATGAAAATGCACATTTCGAACTTAAATGGTTGTAATTCAAGAATGCTTTGGAATATAGACATATGATTGGTCTTGTTTTAAAGAAGACATTTGGCAGATTTTTGTAGAAGTGAAATAAATTAAGAAAGTGAAACAGAAAAAAAGTTATAGAGGTTTGAGTTTATGGAAATGTACAATGCAAAAATATTAATTATTCATATTTTACATAAAATATATATTTTCAAAACCTGGGCTACTCTAAAACGGCAGAAAAATCAAAGCCAAAAATCTGAACAAGTTGTGTTTCAAATTTTAGGTTGATATCTCAAAAAATGAGCTTTCAGTAAGATTTTGTTTGAGCGCAGTACCAAACTTTTTCACTAGGGCACAATCAGACTCCATTACTGCCCATATAAGGGCGCCTGCATTTCCATTCGTGTTTTGAGTGATATGAACCATTATTTTCACAATTTTCATACAATTTCTGAAGTAGAGATCCTATTCAGAAGTAGCATGGGAAGTTTGGCAGATTTTGATATGAATTGAACCTCTAAGAAACACATACAAAGAACACGCATGTAAGTCATAGCTAGCTGCCACGTCACAAATGGTGAATTTATTATTTTTTTCTCTGATATTTCAAACTTTTCAGACCTTTTTTTTCCAAAATAATTGAATGGATTCTATCTTTTGAACTTTTGGCATGAAAACAAACTGAGGTATCTACCATTTTTTCATGATTTTTCATGTTTACTGCTATTTTAAAATAAAGGTCTGAACACGCCTTATGAGTATGAAATATTCTTGTTTTATATTGATAAATTATGGCTCCTCTGTAATATATTTTGAAAATCAGTCACCAAATATGGAAACTAGAGATTGTAAGCTTTCAAATGATATATAGTTTGTCAATATTATTTAAGGTATTTACTAAGATATTATTGTTTTAAAAATATAGTGGCAAACGTCCCACCTGTGGGACGGTGACAGTTAAGTGGTTAAGAATCGATATCGGTTTGTAAAAATGAGAATCGATTAATATCGAGAAATCGATATTTATTACCCAGCCCTAACGAACAACATCTCAACACTAAATTATAAAGGCCGTCACATAGACGCCTGCAAAAAATACAAGCTGGTGCATTTCGACGATATGGGAAAATAAAAGCCCAGGCTATTATTTGTAGTTTTACAGTATTCGTTTTGTTCATATTACATTTTTATTATTAGTTTGAATTAATTTGACAGAGAGCATTCACTGATGTTGACCGAGCTAGTGCCATTCAGAGCTGCCAACTCTCACGAATTCTCCGTGACACTTTTTACACGCTCTCACGCCACACATCAATTTTGTCATGCACAGAAAAGGACAAGGAGACTGACAGACAAGATGGAGCAGGTTACCGTATTTTCTGCACTTTAAGGCGCACCGGATTATAAGGCGCATCTTCCATGAATGACCTATTATAGAAAAATGTTCATATATAGGGCACACCGGATTATGAGGCACATAACATACTGACTGGGTTTCCGTTATGCATCCACTAGATGTGCTGGGAATGTAGCGAGTGCGCGGCGCCGGAGGTGAGGCGTTTATTAGTGTAAGCGGCGCGCTGGGGCGGGCACGTAACTTACATTTGCAGCCAGACTCATATGATATAAGGTGCTCCGGATTATAAGGCGCACTGTCGTTTTTTGAGAAGATTAAAGGCTTTTAAGTGCACCTTATAGTGCGGAAAATACGGGGTAGTTATGATATTTATAAAAAAAAATCTCAGCTCTCAGATTCTGTCAACTTTATTACGCAATTGTAACAATACATACACTTTTGGTGCTTGTAAATGTTACACGACAGATTCCTAGCGCGCGTGAACCAAACACGAACACTGTTGAAAGATACAGTATGTTACAACTTACCAGAATGTATTCCTCATGCATAATATCGACCAATCATTTTTTGAACTCTTCCCTGAACTGAAATGTAGTAGTGGGCTGTACTTTCCACATGATTGACATCAGGTTCAAGCTTTCTTTTACTGTCTATGGGTTCAAGTACACCAGAGCCCGTCTAACGGAGAGCCTTGGCACTTCCAATTAGCCCCGTTGTGTATCATCTTGGTTGCAGTTCCATTAGAATTCCACTGGAGGTGATTGCGGGCGAGAGCAGAATGAATGGGAGTCTATGGGGCTAAACGGCTAAAAGTGTCTCTTTCACCTGCTTGTCGTTAAATTAACATAGAAAGTTCAATATAGATTATAGGCCAAAAGTCGACTGAACGAGTACTCATGTCCTTTTGATTTCTTACAGGTTAGGCTGTTGTTGGCTGGAACACGCTAGCATTCTGCTATTGTGTGACGTCATCACATTTTTGAATGGATTTTTAGAACAGATAAGTGAACTTAAAAATGCAATTTTCAGCTGAGTGTATTATCTTAGCCCTCCCTTTTGAATACAACTTTCAAATTACTTGACCAAAAATTATATCCTGAGAAAAGTGGATTTATGGGGGTGAAACCCCATTGACTCCCATTCATTCTGCACTCGACCGCGAGCGCCCCCGCATGGACAGAGACGTGTTACTGCAGCCAGTCCAGAACCCGGAAGTAACCAGCCAGTGCCAATTCTCTTCAATTAGACATTCTCCGAGTACACCCACAAGACGTGCGTGTTACTCGTGTATTGCAGTTCGGCTGGTGGTTACGTTGCCCGCTCGATACCGCCTCCCATGGCCCAAACTGGTATTACGACACCTGCCGGGCCGGGGCTAGTAATTTAGCATGCTAATTCAGGTTAACAACTCGGCAGCACTATAACTTGTAATTTTTTTAATGACATCATTGACCTTATTTCTTCTCATTCTTTTGATGCGTGTAGCTCATTTTTTGGATATTTTAACTTCAATTATTACAGATAGCACCTTTAATGGACAAAACAAAGGCGCTGAGCACTCAGCTGCTCATAAACATGGCTGCTATAAATTTGACCTGCTACAAGACGGCGCTGTTTTCGATACTCTTGATGCTTCAAATCTTTTCCTGAAACATTCAGGGGAAAGCCTCAGTGCTTCATGAAGCTTCGTTAGCCCATCCCTACTAAATCACAGCACTTCACTTTGTCACACCAATTACATCCTCAAGTCTTTTTGAGGATGATGCTACAATCTTGCCACACCTATTTTTGGGCAGTTTCTCCTATTCTTTGCAGAATCTCTAAAACTCCATCAGGGTGTATGGGGAGCATAAGTGCACTCCAGAGATGTTCAATCTGGTTCAAGTCTGAGCTCAGGCTGGGCCACTCAAGGAAAATTACAGAGTTGTCACGTATGCAGTCCTTTGTTATCTAAACTGTGTGCTTAGGGTCGTTGCCCTGTGTGGGAGATGAACCATCCGTCCAGATCCAGAGCAGGTTTTCATCAATGAGGTCTCTGTACAATACTGCATTCAACTTTCCCTCGACCCTGACTAGTCTCCCAAGTTCCTGCCACTGAAAAAAAAAATCCCCACATCAAAATGCTGCCATGCTTCACTGTAGGGATGGTATTGGCCAGGTGATGAGCGGTGCCTGGTTTCTTCCAGACATGCATGACGCGTGCGATTCAGGCCAAAGAGTTCAATCTTTGTTTCATCAGACCAGAGAATTTTCAGGTCCTTCAAGTCCTTCAGGTGCCTTTTAGCACACTCCAGGCGGGCGGTCATGTGCCTTTTACTGAGGAGTGGCTTCTGTCTGGCACATACCATACAGGCCTGATTGGTGGTGTGCTGCAGAGATGGTTGTTCTTCTGGAAGGTCCTCCCCTCTCCACAGAGGAACGCTGGAGCTCTCTCAGAGTGACCATAAGGTTCTTGGTCACCTCCCTGACTATGGCCCTTCTCCCCCGATCAATCAGCTTGGCTGAAGATTCCCTGGTGGTTCCAAACTTTTCCATTTACGGATGAGCTGTTCATTGGGATCTTCAATGCTACAGAAATTTTTTTGTACCCTTCCCCAGATCTGTGCCTCGATACAATCCTGCCTCATAGGTCTACAGACAATTCCTTGGACTTCATAGTTTGGTTTGTGCTCTGACTTGCACTGTTAACTATGGGACCTTATGTAGACAGGTGTGTGCCTTTTCAAATCATGTCCAATCAACTGAATTTACCATAGGTGTACTCCATTCAAGTTGTAGAAACATCAAGGATGATCAGTGGAAAAAAGATGCACTTGAGCTTCATTTTGAGTGTCATGGCAAAGGTTGTGAATTTCTTTTTATTCTTCTTAATAAATTAGCAAAAATTTCAAACAAACGTGAAGTGAAAAGTGAAGTGCTGTGAATACTTTCCAGATCCACTGTAGCCTACAACAAAATTTAAATAATCAAATGTACAATAACACTGCATAGTCTTATTGTACACATTAAATATAGATTCATTCTTATTAAAATAAGTTACTCAGTCAAGATCAGTGAGTGATTTTTTTTTTTTTTTTTTTGCCATTTAGGGCTGCCTCTTTTCTACCTTATTGCTTATGAATGCCCTGTGAAGCCGTGCACATTTTACTTTTTGAATTGGTTGATTCATTTTGAATGGTGGATTCATTATTATTCTTAATGAAATACACATTTCTTAATTATTCGCTTTATTAACAAAACGAATAAGCACGGCAGCCTCATTCTTGTGGTGCACTTGAAGGTGTGTGTGCAAATTAGAAGTGTTGCCTCCGGATAATACCACCTTCTTCAGGCGAAGTTTACAGATTGTCTAATTAAAGGCTTAGTTCACCACAAAAATGTAATGATCCCATAATTTATTTACAAACACAGTCAGAGTTATATTAAAAATGATCCTGGCCCTTCCAAGCTTTACAATGGGTGTGAATAGTAACTTCAATCCATTATAAAAGTAAGGCATATGGCTTCAGGGGGTTATTAATAATAAAGGCCTTCTAAAGTGAAGCAATGCGTTTTTGTAAACTACACTCAAAAAAATGATTCTTGGCACTGATTGAATTTAAGCAAACACTTTAAATAAAATATATTTAAAAATGTATAAAATAACCATTATTGTTGTGAATTACTCATACTCAACATGAATGTAATGGATCCAAATCCAAACTGATCAAATTACATACACTGGACTTGATTTGCTGCCATAAGGGACAAATGCAGAAGTTGCGCATGCGCACTAGAGTGAAGAAGAAAAAAGAAGAAAAAAAAATGAACTGAAGGCGGCAAGTCGAGTCGTTGGAGGCGCGATACAAGTCAGCGATTTGCGTGAACAGATGTGGAATATTCGACAAGGTAAGATATTTTTGATATTTATAAATGATTAAGACTTCAATATCAACTATTTTTATCATTTAATCGATCGGATTTAATATCATATTTTCGCTGTGACTTCACTTCAGAGGATTTAACTTTTTCGGCCTTTCCATATAAAAACAAGAGTAACGTTGTCGACTGACTATGTGCATCATTTTTGAATTTAGGCAGATTACCTAGCGTATGATTTTTGATAACGGCTCTGTGATGTCGACGTGCATCTTAATGTTACTTTGTAATATGCCAAAACATTGCACAAACACAGTCAATCGAACGTACTGTAGGCCAATATGAATGCTATATACAGGTACAATTGTATAGGATTTCTAGTTAAAACTAATATTTAAAAAAAATATTTGAGACTACGGTCGACTTACTAAGTTGTATATGTGCGTCATTTTTAGTAACAACTTGTCATCTCGACGCAAGTTAGGGCTAACGTACAGTTTAGGCCTACTTTGCTTGAAAAATACTTTGAATATGCCAAAACATTGCAAACACATACTTAATCGACCGCATATGAAAGTTATTTACATGCAAAGGCGTATATGATTTCATGAAGTGGAACAAGTGCTTTCTTTTTTTCATGCTGAGTTGTAATTTCATTACCAAAAAAATAAAACTGGATATCTTTGCTATTTCATAGTCCTCATCGATGTGACACTATTTCAACATTTCTGGCTCTGGTCAGGCACAATCACTCAATTACGGTAGGTGTATTTTTTTCTTTGTAATAAAGTTAAACTTGACTAATTTCTTTGCAAAACTGTGATGTCTGTTGTTTTCTCTCTCTTTTTGAATTTCAGATATGTGAGTTTCGGGAATGTGGCAATATAAAGAGTGTGGCACGGAATTATCCAGTAGGTATGAGTTATTGAAACATTCTAAGCTTAAACATGGACATTTTGGGGCAAGGTTCAGGCATCCTTATATAGTAATTGTCCTTGCACTTTTAAATCATGGAATAACCTCCTAAGTCATATATACCGTACCCACCGTAATAAGTCATCTCCAAAGCAAGAACAGTTAGCCACCTTTTCATGTCAGCTGTGTGCGAGTCAAATGAAAGAGATGCTTATCCACTTTATGATTATTCGGTAGGAGGAAGACGGATGGTAACCCTGAAGAGGCACATCCTCATCTAAGGTAAAGTGTTTATTAAGTGTTTTTTATTAATTTAATACAAGTAACAATGGTAAAAAATGTTTTAATGGTGTATGTTTTTTTTTCTGCTTTGTTTCCTCTTTTAGAAAAGTAGAGAAAAATGTCAAGTCCGGCCATTTTGATGATTGTTTTTGGCGTGGATGACGATGCAAGAAAACTTACACTTAAAGGGATAGTTCACTTTGAAATTAATTTTTTATATGTTTTAGCTTACCTCAAGGGCATCCAAGATGTAGGTCTTTGTTTCCACAGTATTTTCAATTTTGATATTTTTCAGTCAAACCGTTGTTGTCTATCAGTCATACACTGGAGGCTAAGGGGGTCCACCAAAAAGCATGCACAGAGAAGTCCAAATTAAACATGATTTAATGACTCGTAAATGTAAGTACACATTGATGGCCTAAGACACGAAACGAAAACGAACAGTATTTATATCGTTTTGACCTCGTGTAATCACAGTGATCTGAATCAGTTGTTCAATGTCCAACTGAACCGAACTGAATCAGTTCAATGTTACGCCAGAAGTGATCGCTTGCGTGTGACGTCACTAAATATTTACACGTAGACTTCGGAAGTTTCACCTTTTACTAAACATATTTAGATATACCGAAATCGTCTTCCATTGCGGTTTCCCGTATATCTAAATATGTTTAGTGGAAGGCAAAACTTTAGAAATCTCTGTATAAACAAAGAGTGACGTAGGCGCGCAAGCGATCACTTCAAGCGCATGCGCAGACCGAAGCGCTCGTGCCGTCATTAGCCATAGCCATCATTTTGTAATGGCTATGATTACAAGAGGTAAAACGATATAAATACTGTTCGTTTTCTCACACAAACTGCTCGTTTCGTGTCTTAGGCCATCAATGTGTACTTACATTTACGAGTCATTAAATCATGTTTAATTTGGACTTTTCTGTGCATGCTTTTTGAGGTGAACCGATTGAGGACCCCCTTCACCTCCAGTGTATGACTGACAGACAAGAACGGTTTGACCAAAAAATGTCAAAATGGAAAATACTGTGGAAACAAAGACACCTACATCTCGGATCCCCTTGAGGTAAGATAAAACATATCAAAAATTAATTTCAAAGTGAACTATCCCTTTAAGACAGGAATCCCAAAGTCTGTGGATGACTTTGTCCTTGAAATAATGACTGTTTTTGGGGTGAAGCAAAAGTTCAGGCTCCAGTACAAAGATAAGGACTTTGGAAATGAATACATGCATCTCATGTCAACCAGTCAAATTGAAGACGGATACCCTGAAACTGATTTTTCTATCAACTGATGACTAGCATACAAGAGACTGGACCTAATGCACCATTCCTGCTTTTGTAGCTCTGACACTCTTGACACGAGAGATGTTAGCCCTTGTGCTATTGTCTCAGTCCAGGAACTTATTTGATTACTCTTTTTGCAGCAGCACAGAAACTGTTTTATTAAAAAAAAATCTTGGCTTTAGTTTTTTTTTTTGGTTCCTTTGTTCTGCTGAAATTCAGCTTCAGAGAGCTAACACAGAGTTCAGCAACAGTGGAATGCTCCATGGCAGCTGAGGCAGTGAGTAGACCACTTATTTCTGGCCTAAATGTTGAAATGTGAAAACTTGTTATCTTTAACAAAAATGTTTTTGTTGAAACCGTGTTATGTAAAAAGTGTTAAACATGTTATATGTAAAAAAAAAAAAAAAAAAAAAAAGAAAGAAAAATGTGTGTAACTTTTATATGTAGGGATAGTTCACCCAAAATTGAAAATTCTGTCAGTAATTACTCACCCTCATATTGTTCAACCCCGTAAGACTTTCGTTCATCTTCGGAACACAAATTAAGATATTTTTGATGAAATCTGAGAGCTGGATCACTCTTTAGGGTGCTAGGTAATTGTATCTACCAGCCCAGAAAAGTTAAAGACATTTTGGTTGAACTATTCCTTTAAGGTTATTTCACTTTTGTCTTTCAAATTTGTGTACATTTTTTATTTATTTATTTTCTCCAAGTGTCCTGATTGTTTTATTTTTTTTTTCTAACAACTACCAATTACATTCGTGTTTGTACAAATTGATTACTGTACAGTGATTATGACTATGAAATTTGGATCCCTGTTACTTGGCACACAGGTTTAAAACTAAAAAGTGTAACATGAGTAATAACCACAGAAAGTATAGTTTGGGAGGATGCATAAAACTAAAACAGCATTAATTTGTAAAGTGTTGTATTATGTCCTGCTTCGATTTTTTGGTTTCTTTTGTGAGACTGGATGTTTAAAGCAATTGCACACAATAAATGTTTGAAAATTTAACATGTTTTTGACCATTTATTCAATAGAATTAAGGAAATGTAAGATAGTTATATAAAGCAAGTAATAACGATTTATTTGAAATGAGTAAAGTTTATTTAATAGACAATCTTAAATCACAATTCATCGGTTCACATAACAATTATTTAATTCATTCACGTCACCTGAACATGATGGTGAAGCTTAAATAAAGTGTTATCCTTTTACGTTGGATTTATGTGATTTAATTGGATGGAAAATTGACATCCAATTGAAATACATAAGTTTTAAGTTTTGGGGTTAAATATTTTTTTGAGTGTATATAAACTATAAATCACTGGCTTCCGGTGTTGTTAAGTGTTGAATCCCACTGAAGTGATGGGTCCCAGGCAAGGACCCAAGCAATCCAATTGTTTCAAAGCACATTTTATAACGCCTGGTTACAAATCAGATACCACTTTATTATACAAGTCGTTTGAATAAGTTATAACGACTATTCATAAATTTTAACTTATATTATACATTTCATATACTAGTATATAACCGAAGCTATAGTTTGTGAAATTAAAGATTTCTTGTTCTTAGTGTTTTTTTTACTTAGTAGTTTACTAGGTAGCATAGCATACAGCTATCCGAAATGATAGAGATAACGTTTTTCTCACCATTTACAATTTTTGATAAAAAACTTTGATAACAAATGATACAAGCATAATTCTGTGTAATAATTAATTATGACATGCTCGTAATTAAAACAAATTATATTATGCCTTCTTGCTTAATAACAATTGACAATGTTGCGAAACATACCAAAACATTTTATTTCTTTCACTTAAAGGGATAGTTCACTTTGAAATTAATTTGATTAATTTTTAAAATTGATTAAATAAAAGCAAAATTTGCTTTAAGTTGTCTGCCATTTGTACTCATTGCTTTCTTTAATAAGTAGGGGGTAAATTGTAAAAAAAATCGTAAATCGAATTAAAAAATAAAATCGGACATCGGAGAGTCATATCGCCCAGCCCTAATCGCAATCAATTTATGCAAGAACGCTTGTGCTCTTGCACGTGCTCAAACAAAAGAGCGAGCACTCATGGTACACAGCCACACTGAGACTTTCAACACACCGCAGAAAGCATCACAAAACATGCTGGAAACTCATGTAAACTCCCATTGCAACGTTACAATAATAGGCTACTTTTATCAGCTTGACGTTGAACTAAAGATCCATGCTCATTCCATGATAACGTTACATTGACTGCATTTAGCCGACATGGGGTGTTATCTAGCAGCATAAGGCATTTCACTAACTATTCGTGTATCAGCAAAGTCAACATAGGTGAATGTATAATATGAGAACGAAAACGGTTAGTGAACTAAACTGACCAGTTTCAGTGTATCAGTAAGATCAGTAGGTAGTAACATTACTGTACTGAACGTTTCTGGAAATGTGTATTGTAAATAATATTATAGCAGTGGGATGAGTGACGTTAGACAGTAGATCTATACATAAAATAAAAGTTACATCCTAAAGCACCTAATTTTTGTTATCCTGGAACAGTCTTTTGTATTCATTTCATGTCTCATATGTTGTAGTTTACCTTGCTATTTCATTAGTTTACCATTATTTATTTCAGCATATCTGAAAACTTGTAATTTATCACAATAAAAACAGCGGAGGTCTCTCCATAATTCAAACGCTCTGCTGATGTTGATCCATGTCTTCGCAAGTCGATCCGATTCACGTTTGGCCTGACGAGCGTTTTTTGGTGTTCTCAGACTCCGTCGCATAGACTGTATATAAAAAGGAGAGAGGCTCAGGAGCGCGCATGCAGATCCGATCCGACCCGGAGACTTCACATAGAAATAGGATTACTGGCCTTCAGAGATAATTGCAAAACCCGACAAGTGAATCATTGTAATATGGGATTACACATATTTTTTTTTACCTCAAGAGGGCGCAGTTTCTAACAATAACAAAGGCATAGGTTGATGACGCAGTGATGATCAAGTCAAGTCAAGCTGATGGATCTAATAATATTTATTGATGAGTGCTGCAACCATTCATGTTTTTTAACATTACAGTGGAATGAAGCAGGTCGCGATTGCTAAAGAGACCGATATCACGCGCAAGTCCCGCAGATATAAAGAAATAAGGATATTTAATTCTACCAAACTACCCGCAAGTGCTGGATTACTCACACAGGTCAGTTTATTAGATGAATTAAACTTGTGAGGTAACACAGCGCTGCTTCACTTGGTCTAACGTTACACTATCACACTAAAAAGCATTTAAATGTCTGTTTAAAGTTATAAATGTTATAATACGTGTTAGTTCGTTTGATATACAAAACTAGCAGTAAGCTAGATCAACATTAGAATAACATACTGACCATAATCTAACATTTCATCATGTCGAACTAACGTTATAGAACATTGATTTGTTTATAGTACATTTGCTCACCTGTCTAATAAAGCTGTCAAGTCATGACTCATGAAGCTCTGTCAACTCTAGAGCTGGGGATCGATTCAGCGGTTTAAATCCGATTCGATTTCGATTCGACTTTAATGCATATAGATGTAATACAAATCCTATATTTATAAAAAAAAAGTGAACGAATCTTTTCCCGAGTCAATTCGTTCGTTGAATGAACTAAATGACACGCAAAAAGATTCATTCACTTCGATAAACGAGTTTGAACAGGAGAGTCACGAAAGCGCATCACAAAACAGAGCAAGGCGACCATTTAAGCTTATAAAACTTAACCTTAGTTTTTTTTTTGTTTTTTTTTAAATGAGCGATTGTTTGAGTTGAAGACCCTTATTCATCGTCTGGAATCGTTTAAAGCCCTTTGTCTTTTGGACCTTGAACCGTTTGGTTACCAGTAAAGTGCATTATATGGAGAAAAATCCTGGAAAGTTTTCATCAAAAACCTTTATTTCTTTTCGACTGAAGAAACAAT